GGTAAAGAGTTTCGGGGATATGACGTCACCCTGTCTTACACCTCTCTGCAATTGGATAGGTTTCGTACTCTGGTTCTGTACTCGGATAGCCATCGTAGCCCTACTGTACAAGCACCTCAATACTTCGATATATAACAGTCAACTTGGCATCGCTGAAGGGACTGCAGCACCGCCCAAATTTCGACGGAATCAAAGGCTTTCTCATAGTCCACATACGCCAGACATAGTGGCAAATTGTACTCCTCGGACTTCTGTACAATTTGCCGAAGGGTATGTATGTGGTCTATGGTGCTAAAGCCTTTTCGGAAACCGGCTTGTTCGGGAGGCTGGAAGTCGTCAAGTCTGCGCGCGAGACGATTCGTAATGACTCTCGAAAACAGCACGTAGACGCGGCTCAGAAGGGAAATCGGTCTGTAGTTCTTCAAGAGAGCGTTGTCGCCTTTCTTGAAGAACAAGACCACCGCACTTCTGCTCCACGCCTCCGGTGTAATGCCACCATGGAGGACGGAATTAAAGAGCTTCTGAAGGACTTCAAGTACCGGTTTTCCACCCGCTTTCAGAAGCTCCGCTGTAATTCCATCCTCGCCTGGGGCCTTGCCGTTTTTAAGGTGCTGGAGAGCCATTCTAATCTCGCTCAGACTGACGTCCGGGATATCATCGGAATAATGTCGGATAAGACTCGCTCTTGGATCGTTACTCACACTTGCGTGCGGCTCCAACGATGACGTGTACAGCTGCCCATAGAACCTCTCAATCTCACTCAAAATCTCAGGTGCCCCGGAAACGATGCTGCCACATTCTGTCTTCAGCTTTGACAGTTGGCGCTTTCTGGCAGACAGATCTCTGGCAAAGACTTTGGAGCCTTGGTTCCGCTCGATCGCTTCTTCAATACGAGCTGTATTGAAGTTGCGTAAGTCCCGCCGCATGCATTTGGAGATCTGTCTGTTCAGTTGCCTGTATGCTGTCAAATCTGTTGAAGAATGTAGCTTCATCTCCCGTCTAACAGCCATGAGATTAAGAGTGTGATCGGAGAGTTTTTGTGTTCTTCTGCGGCGGGTCTTGCAGAATGTAGGTCAAAATGGCGTAAGGCGTCGTAGGTTCAGTGAAGAAAACAGTTTATATTAACGTTCACAGTCTTTTAATAGTCCACGACACAAAGCACACTACAATAAAGAGTCAGAAGGGAAGCGAGCACAATCATAGTTACAAAGAATAGCACAAGCAAGAAAGTAAGAGATAGCATTAACAAATAAACTGTACGTGGTTAGCCGCGGGCGCAAAGGTGTTACAAGGGTCTAGTCGCAGAGGCGATCAGCAGGTAACTAACTTGATACAAGTATAACAGGATATGCGCGAGCGCCGCGATTCTATCCCCGGCCGCTCTGTCTAGAAAAAGGTCGATCCACAATGGTCCCAATGTGTTAAATGCTTGTTCTATAATGGTTACATAATATATAATTAATTACGTTTATTGTAGGTGTTGTATGTGTTTATGTGTAAGTGTTATTATGTTTCTGTGTGTATATATGAGGTGTGTGTAATAATGTGGTGGAATCCCCACATCACTCCCCCCCAGAGGCCGTGCCTACGGTCGATAAAAATCAGGAAATCTGACATGCCTACCGGCCCTTGTAGTTTTCCGGTTTTCTAAACTGCCGTCCATGACTTTGGGGCTGCAATCAGGAGAGACGTCGCAAGGCGGATCGGTGTTCAGCATATAGGCCGGTTTCAGACGGTCTATAGAATTTGTTATCTGCTTACCTTTAACGATGATCTTAAATACTTTATCACCTCTTTCGGTCACTTCATGTGGACCGGAATATGCAGGATGGAAGGTGCTTTTCAGCCGGTCTTCCCTAAGGAATACGTGGCTGGAATTAGCGAGATCCTTATATATAAATATTTTATTTTTATTATGCCGTGATGCGGGACGAGGCTGCAGTTTCTCACAAACTGAACGAATTCGTGCAGTAAAATCCGTAATGTCAGTTGTGGTGCTTACTGTACTTTCGAAAAATTCGCCTGGGTGTCTTAAAGGCTCGCCGTAGACGAGTTCTGCTGAGGAACACTGCAGATCAGCTTTAAATGCGCTTCTGATGCCCAATAGTACTAGAGGTAAAGATTCCGTCCAGTTGCTATCAGCGTGACATGTAATAGCTGTCTTCAGCTGTCGGTGGAATCTTTCTACTAGGCCATTAGAAGCGGGATGGTAAGCTGTGGTTCTGCGGTGTTTGAATCCGATTATTTTCGATAGATAATTAAATAAATGGGATTCGAACTGCCGTCCACGGTCCGTCACTATGTCCGTTGGACAACCAAATCTGGCGATCCAACCTGATATGAGTGCCTTCGCTACAGTTTCGGCTGTAATATCCGCTATGGGCATAACTTCTGCCCATCTCGTGAAACGGTCAACTGCTGTTAAGCAGTAGCGGAAATTATTCGAGTATGGGAGTGGACCAATAAGAGCGATATGCACATAGGAAAACCTGGCTCGTGGTAAATCGTATGTGCCTAAAGGTGCTGACACATGGCGGTTTACCTTAGAGCGCTGGCAGGCTAAGCACGTACGAGACCATTCTCGGCAGTCTTTTCTGACTCCTGGCCAAACGAATCGCTGTGCTACCAGCTTAGCAGTAGCGTTTGCACCAGGGTGACTTAAAGAATGTAGACTGTCAAAAATAGCTTTTCGAAAACTTTTGGGAACGAAAGGTCTTGGTATGCCTAGACTTATGTCGCAAAAAATTTCGACTTTGCTGTCGGGCTCTTTAACTTTAATAATGCGAAGTGATGATTCATCGCCTAGAAGCTGTGATAGCTCAGAATCTGTGGGCTGAGTTTTTGCGAGCTCTTTAAAATCCACCGGCTGCTGTATTTCATCCACGCGCGACAGAGTATCAGCAACGATATTATCCTTGCCGGATATGTGCTGAATGTCGCTTGTAAATTGAGACACAAAATCTAGATGTCTATACTGACGCGGCGAACAGTTACTTTTCCTTACATGGAATGCATAACATAAAGGCCTATGGTCAGTATAGACTGTGAAGTGGCGAGCATGTGGCGAAAATACTTAATGCCTTCATATATAGCCAGCAACTCACGGTCGTAGGGTGAGTACTTCTGTTGTGCTGGGCTAAGCTTTCGCGAAAAAAATGCTAATGGCTGCCAGGCATCATTTTTGTACTGTTGCAGTACAGCACCCAATGCTAAGTCTGATGCATCCGTTACCAGAGCTAATTTGGCTTGGCAATCGGGATGTGCTAATAGGGCAGCATTGCAAAGACTGTCCTTGGACTGCTCAAAAGCTGTTAGAGCGTCGCCTGTCAGGTCTATAGCTTGTGAAGCCTTCATCGAACCAGTTAATAAGGCGTTTAAGGGTGCTTGAATTTTTGCGGCTTCTGGTAAGAACCGCCTATAGAAATTAAGCATGCCCAAATAACGTCTGAGCGCTTTGACTGTTCGGGGCTTAGGGAATTCTTTAATGGCTTGAACTTTTGACTCAAGTGGCTTAGTACCTGCAGCTCAAATGTGGTACCCCAGAAACTGTACCTGTGATGAACCAAATACACACTTAGAGGTGCTCACCAGTACTCCGTACTGCTTCATTCGGCCAAAGAGAATATTGAGGTGATGTTCATGCTCAGTAGCACTTCCAGAAAATACTAAGAAGTCATCTAAGTAACAGTAACAGAAATCCAGTCCTCTAGTAATTTCATCTACAAACCTTTGGAACGTTTGTGCGGAGTTCCGGAGTCCGAAGGTCATGCATGGGAACTCGTACAAACCAAACGGTGTGGTGATTGCCGTTTTCTGGATGTCCTCCTCAAAGACGGGGATCTGGTTGTACGCTTTGACAAGGTCGATAGTCGAGAATACGGTGCATCCTGATATGTTGTGCGAAAAATCATGAATGTGTCTGATTGGGTACTTATCTGGTATGGTGCGTGCGTTGAGTAGCCTGTAGTCTCCGCAGGGGCGCCACCCATTGCCTTTTTTTTGAGCCATATGTAAAGGAGATGCCCAGGAGCTCTCAGAAGGACGTGCCGTTCCGTTGCTCAGCATCAGCTCAAATTCTTTCTTAGCTATTGCAAGCCTGTCAGGAGCTAACCTGCGAGGAGGGCAGGATATGGGAGGTCCAGGCGTAGTGCGAATGTAGTGTACGGTATTATGTGCAGAGGTGTGTGGTGTGCCTGCTGGTCGTGTTATTTCTGGATATTTAGCTAAAATAGTGTGGTATCGTGTGTCGCCAATAGGAACCTTAACAGAATTAATATTATTTACATTTTTAGCAATAAAAGCAATTGTCGACAAGGATGTTAAATTATCAATTAATCGTTTGTTCTTAATGTCTACAATTAGGTTATAGTGACTAAGAAAATCTACTCCTATTATGGCTTTATTTACATCGGCAACAATAAAATTCCATGGAAAATTACGTCGTAAATTTAAATTTAAATTAAGTTGTAAATACCCGTATGTATCAATTGCACTACCATTAGCTGCTGATAATTGATAAGATGTCTTACTCCGTCGTTCGCGAAGTGCCGTACGCGGAAACACACACACGTCACTTCCAGTGTCCACAAGGAATTGGCTCTTGGAGTTTCGGTCAGTAACGAAGAGGCGACCCGAAGAAGTTAAGCAGTCGTCAGTCGCCATCACCGACTGCTTCGAGCGTTTCCCGATTTTCCAAAATCGCAGGGTTTGATGCACCGGTTGGCCTTATCTCCATATTTCGAGTGATACCAACAGGTTGGGTATCTTCTGTAGCTGGAGTCAGATCGGGAAGTTGAACGTCTGCGATTGCGGATGCTAGAACGGTCACATGGTCTGGAACGTCTGCTCCATTGCATGGTAAGGTTCTTAACAGCTGCTTTCAGCTCCGCTATTTCATTCTCCATAGACTGCGTACTGGTACCAGGTGTCGATGTAGTACGTGAGGTTGTTGCGACTTGAAGTGTTGGAGATACTATATTGTTACAAATAGAAACACGAATTGACTTTATTTAAAATATTTTAATGGCCTTTGGCCTAACAAATATTAACTAACTTAAAAGCTTAAAACAAGGTTCAAAATAATGACGCTAGTATTCGAGCAAAGCTTCCGCACTCCGTGATGACCGTCGGCAAAAAGGGGCGACTGACGCCAGCCGCCCTCCTATATAGCCCGGCGCGGCGTCGTCAGACCTTCTCTTCTAACACGGCCTCTCCTGACGGGGCTGCGTGCTCGAAGCCCTCAGCAGGAACTCGTGGATGGCTCAGCAACACTCACCGCGTCCCGCGGTTGTTCGACGTCACCATCGTCGATCTCTGAGAAGATACACACAATCTAAGAGACACTTATTTATATCGCGTATTAACAGTTGATCAAAATTCATATAGTTCATAAAAGCGTCAGATTATGTACCCAATTAGCCAAACAAGTCAGTCAGTCAAAACAGTCAACATGAACAGTTATCAACGCCACACAAAAGCGTTTCAAGTCACATAGGTTTTACACAGGTCTCTTCCCACGCAACCGAATACCCCGCACATACTCGCGTGTGCAAACAGGATTTACATCAGTCTCTAGCAGGTCACCCCAGATACCTAATAATGGCTGGATTTACACAGGTCTGTTGTCGGCTGCGCCACCGACTCACCCCAGAAACCACCAGTGTCAGGGTCAACCCAATACCATGCGCACAGGATTTATACGGGTCTCTTCCACTGAACACAACACGTAACGTAGTCAAAATCAATAAACACGGGCTTGTTTGGTACATAATCTAGCTCAAGAATAGGGAAAGATTATCTTCTCGATTGTCACAGCACCAACACACGACCAAGCGCATTCGCCGCGGCACCTCTGAAGGAACTCGCGCGATCGCGGTACGTGTAATCAGATTTGCGATTTCTGCAGAAGTCCCGGATGAGAGCTATAAACAATGCATACATCGTTTGAGTCATTATAAAATAAGCTAACGAATTACATACGAATCAGGACAGCTCCCTTCGTAACACATTATCAATTCTATTTTGAAATTGATGTAATCGAGCTCCTCCTACTTCAATACACATAAGTCGTTACAATCACAAAAGCAAACCTTTATTCGACAAATATTTTACTTTACCCACTTAAAACATATTTAACATAAATCCATAAAAATAACATAGCTCTTGACACATTTTTTTTTTTCACCCCACAAGCTCTACGATAACATGCCTCACTTAAGTGACCCGATAAGGTAAGTTTTGGGTGAGTTTAAGTCGAGAGTCGAGAATACTGCAAATTAAGTGGTTTATGTAATAATTTATGTCCCGTTTGGGTTCACACTTCTTATCACAAACATAGTTTTAACTTTTGGATAAGAAATATAGCAAAAAATATAGAAATACGTGGGAACTGATCGAGCTCCACAAGGCACTTGACATAATATGCGCCTTTGTTTACTCCAATATTCCAGAGGCCTGTTGACAGATGAGGGGTTATTAGTTATGTAAAATAACAAAACAAATATAACAGCAATCGTACTACTAGTACCTTCAAAAAATGCAGTTGCGCAGTCTTTAGTGCGTAATTAGGAATGTATCTTCGGAAGTATCCTGCGAGGCCAAGAAATTGGCGAACCTGTTTGATATTACTCGGTCGTGGTGATTTAACTAACGCATCAATTTTATAATTGCTCGGTCTAACCTGACCATCTCTTATAATCCTACCCAAGTATTCTATTTCGTTAGTAACAAAAGTACATTTCTTTAAATTAATTGAAAAACCTGTTTCAGTTAGTGTTTTCATAACCGAATCTAATAAAACGAGGTGTTCGTCAATCCCGACCGTCATTATTAATACGTCATCTATGTAGACCATGACTTTTCCGGCATCGATAAAAGATTTAAGCGTTTTAGAGATAGTCTTCTGATAAAATATAGGCGCGTTCGCCAAACCGTAGGGTACCTTGCAATATTCATACTGCGCCTCTGGTGTAACGAATGCGGTCTTATGAATCGACTCTTCTGCAACTCTAAGTTGATGGAAACCGGAAACCATATCCAGAGAGCTAAACCAGCGACCATTGCCTAGCCTGTCTATATAGTCGTTGATCAAGGGGAGAGGATATCTAGTTTTAACGGTTATTCGATTCAATGCACGATAGTCAACGACCATTCTATCAGAACCATCCTTCTTTTTTACGAGCAAGATCGGACTAGCGTATTCTGAATCGGACTCGCGAATAATTCCTTTATCGAGCAGATCCTTCACTATAGTGCGTACTTTTAATTTTTCGCCATGCGATAATTTGTAGGGTCTATAGTACACGGGCACATCGGTTGTTAATTTGATATGCATCTCACTATCTTTCACCGTTGTGGTCGCGGTACCACTTAAAAAGAAATCGGAATACTTGGTGAGGATCTCTAGTAATCGTTCTCTATTATTTCCAAATACCGACGTATTAACTTGATCGGACAAAGAAATCAAATTTACTTGCAGAATATCGTTTACAGTCGCCTCACTATGAATTATACGTTGGCTATCACCGGTCCTAACATATGTAATACCTTTCCTGTTTAGTACGTCTGTACCGATAATGACTGGCACACTCAAATTATTCCCACCCACCACATAAAAATCAATTTCTATCGTTATATCGCTAAACTCGACGGGTAATGTTACAAATGATTCCGACCTTATTTCCATACCACCCAAGCCGCGTAGCAACTGATTCGTAGGCTTTACTTGACACGGAAAATGCTTAACAACATTTTTTGACATTAAGGAAACACATGAACCACTATCGATTAGTACGTCTAATGGTATTCCCGATATGACCGCAGTCGTGACGTCGCGATTTTTATAACTGTCCGTGATTTCGCGACAAAAATTGACACCATTATTATTCCGAGAATTTGCGCGTTCCTTAGCAAAACAAGTTACCTCGGAATGACCTACCTTTTTGCAAAACCCACACTTTAACGGATCGCTACGAGATATCGTCGGTAACGCGATTGTTTTTTCGTTACTATAACTCGGGAGTGTATTCGACCGTTTGTTACAATTAAAACTCCTATGACCAAATTGATTACATTCGTAACACCTTATTGATTTTAAGTCTTCGGAATCATATCGACGTTTTATCGGTTTGCGGTTCGAGTTACTATTATTAGAGGGTCGGTCAAATCGATTGAGACCATTAGAATACACTTTCCTATTATGGCTGTTAGAAGGTTTAACAAAGCTCGATAAAAACTCCACTATAGAGTCAGGTGATAATTTGGCGTTAGCAGCCATAGCACGAATTTGTGGATCTGCAATTCCACGAATGATAATAGCCGTAAGCAGCTCGCTACTGAGACCTTTAACTATGCGTAACCTTAAAAGTGATTTACGAGCATACTCAGCATATGTGGAGTATTTATCTGACCCTGTCCTCATTACATCATAAAGCATGTTCGCGACATCGACAGAACGTGGGCATAGCGCTTTTAGTTCTGATTTGAAATTGGACCACGTGCGAATACTGCTTGTCCATTGGCTAAGCCAGGTGCGAGATTCTCCTTTAAAACAATGTCCGACACGAGCAAGGCATTCTCTGTCGTCCCAATGGTTCGAAATACGGGCTCTTTCTACCTCATCACACCACGTGTCGAAGTCATGAACATTCGGATCAAAATCAGAGACAAAATATCGGTTAGATCTGACCTGAGTACTGCCGATAGCGGTCAAAAGACACTCTACGGCGTTCGTCACCACGTCTTCAGACTGCGTTGATCCCACGTTGCCAGTGTGCGGAGTCAGCGGCGGCGTCCCCACTCGCGAGGGCACAGGCGCACGCGGCGGTGTAGGCATCCCGAACACCGATGCCGATGCCGATGCCGATGGTGTCGTGTTTGGCAGCTCGAGGGCGCACCTAGGGCCCGAGCTGGTCGTTGCAATGGCTTGCGTCTCCACTGACGCACGGGGCTGCTCCTCCAGCACGCGTAGCCTCCTCAGGATCTCTTCCATCGGATTGGGCGAAGGAGTTTGCCCACGGCGTTTTTGTTTGTTGCGTTTATTGTTGCTAGGCATCTCACAGACAAAAACTGTGCCCGAATATTAAATAAACAACTGAAAGGAAACTAAGTTTTCCTTTATAAAACCAGAAATATAGGCGTACAGCGGCTTTTCAGCCTTCTGATCCCACTTCTGATGTTACAAATAGAAACACGAATTGACTTTATTTAAAATATTTTAATGGCCTTTGGCCTAACAAATATTAACTAACTTAAAAGCTTAAAACAAGGTTCAAAATAATGACGCTAGTATTCGAGCAAAGCTTCCGCACTCCGTGATGACCGTCGGCAAAAAGGGGCGAGTGACGCCAGCCGCCCTCCTATATAGCCCGGCGCGGCGTCGTCAGACCTTCTCTTCTAACAATATCATATATTCTGTCTGCTAGATCGGCTAAAACGTCCAATGAGCTGGTTGGTTGCGACACAATCAGCGTTTGGATGTTGTTGGGAAGTTGGCTGCTCCATATGCTCTGTATAAAGTCCTCGGGTACCGAGGGACCTGCCAAGCTCTGCAGGTGTCGTAAGAATTGGGAAGGTTTCCGATTTCCCAATTCCTCGTGCATGAGTAACTGCTGAATCTTCCTTTCACGCGATGCTGACAAGCGTTTAATCAGTTGGTCTTTAAGTTTCTCGTATTTGTAACTAGAAGGCGGAGAAACAATAATATCTTTTGCTTCTTTAGAATATTGAGGATCTAAATTACTCGTCACATAATAAAATTTTGTGGTATCCGATAATATGTTTGAAATTGTGAATTGACCCTCTATTTGCGCAAACCATAATTCAGGATCGTCCGGCCAAAATGGGGGTATACGTACGCTAACTCGATTAACGTCTGATGTAAGGTCGACGTGCGATCTGTGCTTGCGCCTTGTACATGGGCGCGTGGTAACATTTTGTTCTGATGCCGTTTTTGGCGATTCACTACCACTACTCATTGTACCTGTAGCGTCTTCTGCAGGGGTCACCAGTTGTAGGTCAAAATGGCGTAAGGCGTCGTAGGTTCAGTGAAGAAAACAGTTTATATTAACGTTCACAGTCTTTTAATAGTCCACGACACAAAGCACACTACAATAAAGAGTCAGAAGGGAAGCGAGCACAATCATAGTTACAAAGAATAGCACAAGCAAGAAAGTAAGAGATAGCATTAACAAATAAACTGTACGTGGTTAGCCGCGGGCGCAAAGGTGTTACAAGGGTCTAGTCGCAGAGGCGATCAGCAGGTAACTAACTTGATACAAGTATAACAGGATATACGCGAGCGCCGCGATTCTATCCCCGGCCGCTCTGTCTAGAAAAAGGTCGATCCACAATGGTCCCAATGTGTTAAATGCTTGTTCTATAATGGTTACATAATATATAATTAATTACGTTTATTGTAGGTGTTGTATGTGTTTATGTGTAAGTGTTATTGTGTTTCTGTGTGTATATATGAGGTGTGTGTAATAATGTGGTGGAATCCCCACACAGAACTTAGCTCCGACCGCATGGACAGTTTCCACGAGCTTGTCATTCAAATCGTCCACTTCATTGCAGTCTTCTAGGCACTGAAAACGGTTTTGTAACTCGAGCTGAAAGGTTTCGGGACTTTGGATTAGAGCACGAGGGGGACGGAGCGTTGACTTCATTAGACGAGACCTCTCCAACTTAACGTTTAGGTTCAGTGTGCCTCTAACCATTCGGTGATCGCTGCCGGTTTTCACCCTCGCGATCTCTGAGACATCACTGAACAGTTGTCGTCTGGTCGTCATAATGAAGTCAATCTCATTTTTTGTCGAACCGTCGGGGCTCGACCAGATCCACTTCCTGTGGGGCCGCTTCTGGAAGAAAGAGTTCATCATAAAGAGTCCCTCTTTCTCCATGAAGTCAGCCAACTGCTGGCCCCTTGGGTTCCGTTGCCCTATTCCAAATTTCCCTACTTTCAGCTCACCGTTCTCTCTTGTGCCTAGTTTTGCATTGAAGTCTCCCATTAACACCGTATATTGGGTTTTGGAGGAATGCATGGCTCCAGATATATCCTCATACATTTCCTCCACCTCCTGATCGGGGTGTGCCGAGGTTGGTGCGTAAACCTGTATGACCTTCAGCGAATACCGTTTGGTGATTCTGAGTATAAGGTACGCAACCCTCGTCGACACACTCTCAATCTTTACAACGTTGTTAACGAGAGACTTGTGGACGATAAATCCGACACCTCCTTGGGACAGATGGTCGCCCTCCCGGTAATAGAGCAAGTTGCCGGATTCGAGGATTACCGTGTCCTCCCCCTCTCTTCGGACTTCGGATAATCCTATAATATGCCAGCGTAACTTGTCTATCTCTTCTTCCAGCTCCACAATCTTCTCGTCAGTCCTCAGGGTGCGTGCGTTGTATGTTGCCAGGTCGAGTCGTCGTAGGTGGCAACCGAACCTCCACCGGAGATTCTTAGCACCCCCTGCCCCGCCGTTACCATGGTCGCCACCGTAGCCAGGAATAGCGGGGCCGCCGGGGACTAGGAGCCGTTTATTATTGTCATTGCTCATGGAGGGTATATTGCCATAGTTGCCACGCTTGGCGAGCGGGTTGGCAACCGCAGTTTTTTTATTGTTATTTTGGCTATTATCAGGAAGATGCTGCTGCCCATCTCCTGCCTGTTTCCCTTTGTCACCTTTTACGACACCCACGGGAATATATGGGGTAGTGGATATTTATAACCGCCACTACACGGCACTCTCCACTTTATGACTCACTAACTATGGTGAGTATAAATACTGTGGTTGATTAAACGCTTGTATTGAAGCAACCATGCTCGTAATGCGCCTTGAAGAAGAGCCTATGTTTCTGCAATCATCTGCCAGTCTTGGCATACGCTTTATATTCTCGATCTCGGCTAGATTGAGCATCTCAACCCTACTGAATCTTCTTTCGAGAGCGTACATTATTTCATCTGGTTCACATAAAGTAAACAACAATGACTTAACCGCTTCCTTGGCGGTGCCCTTCAATGCCTACCTAAGGCGTGCTACGTTCTACACTCCTGAAAAATGACTACTTGTGTCTTCAAACACCGTTTTTGAAATTATCCATTCGCCCGGGTCTCCATCGAAGACCGGTAAATCCTGGAGGAAAGGAAGCGGGGAACTCTTATCTTTATTGCACTCACAATCACGTCAGTCAATTGGGACATTTCACACACGTGTTCTTTCTGTGCATTTCCTAGGTTGCGCTCGACCTCCGCCTCTATGCGGCGTGATACCTTGGATGCTTCCTTATCAGCAGTGTCGGGTTTCGTTACACTAATAGGCGCGCTCAGTATGGTTTGTTGAACCCAACTCCTTACGAAAGGTTACACCTAAGTATTCCGCTCTTCATCATCCTCACACGAGTCGATTTTCTTTTCACGTTTGAGACGTATCAACTCCAATTGTGACTTGGCTAAATCAGCAGCTGCTTCTGCTCGTTCGAGATCTGAGCGTTCGAATTTACTCCGCGCCTCTATTTCGGCTCTCAGCCTCCCTGATCGCGATGACCTACTACCTTTATGTGACCCATTGTCACTAGTCTGCCCGATTATCGTTTTGTCGATGCCGCTTTTTCGGTTCCAACTTGACCTACATTTTCGTCTATCGTTTCGCTCCTGTTAATAACGGATTTCTGTGCGGTGCTGGTCTGCGTACCGTAAAACGTGTGTACGCAAACTGCGCGACGCTTTCCGTCGAACTGACTCATCGCTACTAAAACTGTCTGTAATATATAATGTACGAGTACTCTGTGACTAAACCTACCCCTCTGCGTGCGTCCTAAACTCCGCGAAAAATGATGATGCAATTTGCATGTTCTATTGCGCCATTCTGTATTTCGTAGAGCGTAAGTTTTGGAAATGTTTTTTTTGGATTTAAAAGTGAATTTTATCATATCTAGGACCACCATGTCATTACCGCATAGTAAAGGTCTCCATTAAAAATTGTTGCCATTTCAGTTTTCATAAGTGTTAATGGTCTCTTTCAGATAATTCTATTTCACACAACAGGAACTTTATTTTTATACATTATTGGAGATGTGTCTTGCATTACCAGCATTACATATAGTAATTTTTATGGTTATGCCGGCCTTCGGCAAACAGTCTCGGCTGCTACACTTACATGATGCCTGTGTATTGTTACTGCTAACAGCTACCTGTGCATTGTCATTATCACTTCATCGTCAATAGAATCAGTCGAAAGTGCGATTGCAGTACCGCAAATATTCAGAGCGACGCAAGCAAAATCACGGAGTACCAACGCAACGCGAGTAAAATCAATAGAAAATAATAGAATAGAATAACTTTTTATTCAATATTGGTTCGAAAATACCTCTGTCCTGGGAAGAACCAGCAAGAAACCTAGCGGGACTTTTTTTTCAAACATATTTCACATCGACAATAATTTCGTTTATAAATTTTTTAAATGATATTTCATAGAACCAGCATGGTGGCGATCACCTTATTTCCAGGGGTTATTTTCATTCATATATTCCTTGATATTATAGTAGCCCTTTTTGTAAAGTTTTCTTTAATAAAACTTTTAACTTAAAATAAGGCATTTTGTTGCAAAAGCGTATACATTGCCACATAAATGAATTACTGATTCTGTGGAGTCTAGTAACTAGCATTACAAGCTTATGTTTGTTTCTAGTATTTAAAGTATGCACATCCTTATTCTTATTAAAGCTATTTATGTTTTTATGTACATACATTACATTTTCATAAATATAATGCGATGCCAAAGTTAATATGTTTATTTCTTTAAATTTTGTCTGTGGGACTCTTTACAATTTAGGTTATAAATCGCCCGAACGGCTCTCTTTTGCAAAATAAATATAGCTTCAATATCAGTCGCATTACCACATAGCATAATTTCATAAGACATTACTCTATGAAAGTAACTAAAATACACTAATCTAGCTGTCAACATCTGTGAGACTTCTAATCTTTCTTACAGCATATGCTACAGAACTAACTCTGCTTACTAATTTAGATATATGGGGGCCCCATTGAAGTTTCGCGTCAATAGTAATACCGAGAAAAACAGTGTTATCCACAAGAGTCAACTCCTCCCCATTTAACAGCACATTGGTATTTGAATGTTTTACATTAGATATTGTAAATTTAATACACCTTGTCTTTTTGTCGTTTAAGAGCATATTGTTGGCGTTAAACCAATGTACTAGTTTCGATAGAGCATTATTTACATTGTCATAATTAATTGACTGTACTTTGAGTTTGAAAATTAAAGAGGTATCGTCAGCAAATAATACTATATCGTGATTGTCTCCTACAAGATAAGGTAAGTCATTAATATAGATTAAAAACAGGAATGGGCCAAGAATCGAGCCCTGAGGTACGCCCATTAACACTACCGATCCGAAGGAACCTTTACCATTAATCACGACTTTTTGAGTTCTGTTAAAAATCACGGAGCACCAACGTAACGCGAGTACAAGCAATGAATGGAAAACAAAATGGCAAGTAGCGTCGTATATATTATGCCAAGTACCATTTCACTTTTTAATGTATTTTATTCATGCGCAAATTTCAATAATGTAAATGAAGGTAACGATATGTTTATCGTTGGAAATTAATTAGCCATTGCATTTATTTACATTATTTTTGATACATTTTAGTTAGATTTTTGTTTTTGTGTGTAAAAAACCTTCAATATTTTGGTAATTAATATATCTTTACTAACAGTTTCTAATACAAAAGAATTAACCATTTATTCGGGGTTGCCGTTTTAAAAGCTGATTTCTCAAAAAAACTTTTTAAATAAATGACTAGCAAAACTGATTTAGTCAACCTGTAATTTAAGGAAGCAGCCAGAATACTTGCTTGGTTTCGTTGAAGAAGAATAAACCATGTTAAGGTATAACAGGAGTTGGAAAATATCAAACAGGAGCAAATAATGACGAAGAGAGTAAGAAATTCTTGTTAAAGGCGAAGGGAGTAAAATAGTTTTTTCTTTTGCAATTTAATAGTGATTTAATTTTTTTAAAGTAATAAGCAAATTATCCTTTATCCAAAATTAACTTGTTGGGACATCTCAAAAAAAATTATGGGACGTTTATCACTCTAAAAACTAATATGACTACGACTGCCCGAAACGAAACGAAAGAGAAAAACTCACGAAATAATGAGTATGGAATGCAGTCGATGGATGAAGGTTGCTTCTTTCTAATGCGGTTCCAGTTTTAAGGGTATGGAGAACTAGTACTCTTATAGTATGTAAGGCCCTTAGTCTTAGCCCTCAAAGGTGAAGCGCTACTGTAACTTTCTGTGCATGAAGTTGGTAACAGATATCCATTAACTGCTGTTGTCACTGACTCTTATCATCAGCTGGCTTGTTTACTCGTATATCCTCTGTTTGCATCCAATTTATGTGGAATATGGTTGTAATGTGTAGACAAGTCATGGTGCAGCTACATTAATATGGTTATAGCATGAATGGGTCGGCTCGACGGGAAAGGGACCACGTTTTCAAATGATAGCTGAATACTGTTTGTCTGGTGAATGAAGAAAATTTTACTAGAAAGAAGGCATTTTGTCTTAGTCGTGAAGGGTGACAAAGTAACTGCACTTTGATTCTAAATCGAGTGTAGATATAGATGTCTATGTTCCGCAGCATTTGTTTACCGTCTAGTGAACTATAATCGACACCCTTATTCTATAAAAAAAACAAATAAATAAAAAAGCTCTTTGCTCTTTAGACGTTACAATAATTATGATATATCAACAAATCATACCGCGATAATATCGAATAAGCACGGTCCTAAGGTCATGGATTTCTATTAGCTTCACTCCAATTATTTAATTGCGATATATAATGAATAAAGTGTGACACACAACTTGTTTTTATGACGTATTTTAGAGTTAGAATAATTTTAATTAATTTAAAATTCAGATCTTATACAACGCATATAGAATATTTAGTTGTTGTTGGCAGAATAATTTAAATTAATTTAAAATTCAGATCGTATTCTACGCATATAGAATAT